TGAACTTGTTTTGCTGTAGAAAACTGTCAACAACAATTTGATAAAATTCTATACAGGCACCCGGTTTTTCAAAATTTTTAATTTTTGTTACTTAATGTACTTTAACTATATTTCCGTCAAAAAAAAAGTTCTCGCAGTTTTTTTCTCAAAATGCTTAGAACTAAAACCTATGCAAACTCTAAACCCTTCATCAAAGTCAAAGATCACTTTTATACGTGCGGTTGAAATCCTATAAAAATACCTAAAAATAATAAAATAGTTCATATGAGCTTTACATTCATTATATCTCCGTAACTTGAAGAGGTAGAAAGCTCAAAAACCAGCGTAGAGTAGAACTGCACATTTAGCATATATAATTACTGTGTCATTTAGTCAATTCAACTGAAGAAACGCAGGAGAAGTTAATTATTCCTGAGGATTGGAATTTATCAGACATCCTATCCAGTTCGAAGAGAACAAATATTTTGAACGGTAGGCTAACACAGCAAATTTCAAACGAGCTTCAGTGCGGGCTTCATTCCTGTTAATGTATTTCTACAAGTTTCAAACAAATACAAAACGAGTTCAGTTAATTGTGGCAAGCCCCATCCATCGATTTGACCATATACATTGCCCGTTGGTTTACACTCTAGCAAATATCGAAGACTGTAACTCATATACAACTCCAGAATGATTCACCAATGCAATTAATGAAATAATTCTTCAGCTGTTGAACAAGTACACTATCTGTGAAAGATAGTCCACTCGTCTCTTCACTGGTATATAATGCAACAGTATTTCCGATAACTGTAATAAAATAGTTTTGATCAATCAAAATCTTTCTGATGACGGGAAGCCAAAATGAAATTCCTGTATCCATAAAAGCTTTGAGAACTTTCTCTGCAGCAGAATATTCCCATGATCCTTTCCTTAAATCATGTATGAGCCATGAAAGTTTCTCAACAGTATCAGGTTCGATATTAGAAAAACATGCTATCTTCGCGAAGATTCGGTCTAAAATTTCTTGTGCCCTGAAAGAATCTTGCACTCGCTTATCAGTATATCCATCTAATAAAATTTTCAACACTTGATCAGCGTGTCCCTTTTCACACATTACTCCAAGTGCTTCATAGGCACATCGTTGGACATCAGCATCGGCATCCCAAAGTGCATTGAAGAGTCCATTGATCACTTCATTGGTGGCTGCTTTTTCACCCATTTTTCTGAGCGCTTCACAGGCACGCCATCTGACATCAGCATGGACATCCCGAAGTGCATTGATAAGTCCATTGATCACTTCATTGGTGGCTCCTTTTTCACCCATTTTTTCGAGTGCTTCACGGGCATATCGTCGGACATAAGCATTGACATCCAGAAGTGCATTGAAGAGTCCATTGATCACTTCATTGGTGACTGCTTTTTCACCCATTTTCCCGAGCGCTACACAGGCACATTGTCTGACACCAGCACCGGTATCTCGAATTGCATTGACGAGTCCATTGATCACTTCATTGGTGGCTGCTTTTTCACCCATTTCCCTGAGCGTTTTACAGGCACATCCTCTGACATCAGCATCGGTATCCCAAAGTGCATTGACGAGTCCATTGATCACTTCATTGGTGGCTGCTTTTTCACCCATTTTTTCGAGTGCTTCACAGGCATATTGTCGGACATAAACATTGACATCCCGAAGTGCATTGACGAGTCCATTGATCACTTTATTGGTGGCTGCTTTTTCACCCATTTTCCCGAACGCTCTACAGGCATCCCATCTGACATCAGCATGGACATCCAGAAGTGCATTGGTGAGTCCATTGATGACTTCATTGGTGGCTGCTATTTCACCCATTTCCCCGAGCGCTCTACAGGCATCCCATCTGACATCAGCATGGACATCCAGAAGTGCATTGACGCGTCCATTGATCACTTCATTGGTGGCTGCTTTTTCACCCACTTTTCTGAGCGCTTGACAGGCATTTCGTCGGACACAAATATCGACATCCAGAAGTGCATTGACGAGTCCATTGATCACTTCACTGGTGGCTGCTTTTTCACCTATTTTTCTGAGCGCCTGACAGGCACATCTTCTGACATCAGCATCGGCATCCCGAAGTGCATTGACGAGTCCATTGATCACTTCATTGGTGGCTGCTTTTTCATGCATTTTTTCGAGTGCTTGCCAGGCACGCCATCTGACATCAGCATCGGTATCCCGAAGTGTATTGACGAGTCCATTGATCACTTCATTAGTGGCTGCTTTTTCACCCATTTTTTCGAGCGCTTGACAGGCACATCTTCTGACATCAGCATCGGTATCCCGAAGTGCATTGACGAGTCCATTGATCACTTCATTGGTGGCTGCTTTTTCACCCATTTCCCTGAGTGCTTCACAGACACGCCGTCTGACATCAGCATCGACATCCCGAAGTGCATTGACGAGTCCATTGATCACTTCATTAGTGGCTGCTTTTTCACCCATTTCTCTGAGCGCTATACAGGCACATCGTGTGACATAAGCATCGGCATCCCAAAGTGCATTGACGAGTCCATTGATCACTTCATTGGTGGCTGGTTTTGTACCCATATTCCCGAGCACTACACACGCATTCCTTCTGACCTGAACATTGGTGTCTCCGAGTGCAGCGACGAGTCGATTATTCACTTTGTTGCTGACTGTTTTTTCGTCTATTTTCTGAAGCGCTTCATATGCAACAGCTTTGACAAAAGGGTAGGTATCCTGGAATGCACTGCAAAGCTCTTGAATAATTTCGTCGGTGGCTGCTTTTTCACCCATTTCGCCAAGCGCTTGACACGCACGCCATCTGACACCAGGATCGTTATCCTTAAGTGCGATGGCAAGCCCATTAATCACTTCATTTGTCGCTGCTTTTTTACCCACCTTACCGAGCGCTTCGCAGGCACTCAATTTGACATCGATAACTGTGTCTTGGAGCGCACCACAGAGTCCCATTATTGATTCAGGGGTCGCTGCTTTTTCACCTGTATTTCCAAGTGCTTCACATGCACTCGATCTGACATTAGCATCTGTGTTTCTAAGTGCATAGACGAACCCGTTAAGTACCTTGTTACTTAATATACTGTTATAGATACGTTCGAGCGCTTCACGGGCTCTCACTCTCACTTTAATATCGGCATCTGCGAGTACATTGAAAAGTCCATTAATTACTTCATTGGTTGCGGCTTTTGCACCCATTTCCATAATCACTTCACAGACATTGCTTTTGACCAATGGATTAGTGTTTCGAAGCGCATAAGCAAGTCGTGGAATTAGCTCATTGTGAGTAAATTTTTCAGACAATATCCCGAGAACTTCACACGCATTTCGTCGCACCAATTCGTCGGTATCCCAAAGTGCCTTGAAAAGACCATCAAGCACTTCATTGGTGGCTGACTTATCAGGCATTCTTCGGAGTGCTTCACACGCTGTCCATCTGACACCAGCATCGCTATTTCCAAGTGCATAGACGAGTCCATTAATTACTTCATTGGTTACTGCTTTTTCACCTATTGTCCCGAGTACTTCACAAGCTCTCCGTCTGACGAATTCGTCTGTATCGCTAAGTGCATTGATGAGCTTTGATATCGCTTCATGTGTAGCTGCTTCATCGCCCATCCTGCGGAGCGCGAAACATGCACTACGTCTGACGGATTCGTCGATATCACCAAGTGCATTGAGAAGTCTGGTGATCACTTCTTTGCTTGCTGCGTTTTCACCTATCGTTCCAAGCGTATCGCAAACACTCTGTCTGATTTCTGGATTCTCATCGTTAAGTGCTGTTACAAGAATTTGAATCAATTGTAAGTTTGGATTCGAAATCGATACTTGGCGGATGAACGAACATACGCGTGTTTTTATACTCAAATTTTTGTCTTGAATCAATTTCGCGAAGGTGTCGAGTATTTCAGCTTGATTAACTAAGGAAGGGGTTCTTTGTAGTGCCTTCGACAAGGGTTCGTAAAGATAACGGATCTTGTCCGAGAAGCTCAAACAAATCCAGTTGATAACTAGTTTTATCAGCTCGCGGTACTGTGAAATGCTTGAGTTATAACTAGTCTCCTCTAGACATGAAATAACTAGCGTTACGTGTCTGATGCCGATGAGATCTAACGGCTCTGAGAATAATGTAGTCCAAAATAAGGTGATGCATTGATCGTCATCACTATCACTAAGAAGACCAGATGCAAAAGCAAAAACTAATTCAAAGCGTTGATGGTACTTATGGCGTTGGATGAAATCTATTGCTTCTTTTAACTTATTGCCACCAGTTTTTATTGCTTTCACCAAGTGTCGTGCTGCAAAGTGTTCTTGGAAACTAAGATGAAGAAAGTAGTGGTTTTTGTCCACTTGAACACGAGTATCGATCGGTTTACAGTCTAAAGCTTTTAAAATACCCAGGTTAAGCAAATGTGGCTGCTGCTGTAGGGAACAATTAGACTTTGTTAATGCTCTTTGTAATAATTTTGGACGAAGAACTATGCTCTGGCTTTCCATTCCGATGAAAGCTAAGCATTCTAAAAATAACAACTTCTTATGGCAGTGTGTGCAAACATCTTCTTTTGTCATGAGATTTGAAGAAATATTCTGCTTTTCCAAATATCTACGACATAGCCATTCAATCATCTTATCATAAACCATTGTCATAGTCAAATTTGTTGTTTCTGACCAATCAGTACTACACCAAAGACTACAGATGAGTTCCAAATTTACTGGGATATGCGCAATACCCCAAATTCTAGGGTTACATTTTAAGAAGTGCAGTAGTTTTTGTAGTTGAAGAGATGCATTGTCTAGTTTGTCTCTTATTTGATTGAAAAATTGCTCTGCATATTTTGCAATATTACTATCTGTAAAACCAGTAATTTCCAGTTTTACATCGTACGGTAACGTATTCAAGTATGGTCGAGATGTCAAAATATGATGTGGAGTCTTAAGTAATTGTTCCAATACATATTTGAGATAGTTTGGTATATTCTCTACGATTTCATCATATCCATCTAAAAGCCAGAGAACTTGACTTTTAGCCATCTGTTCTTTCATAAGTCTTTGATCGTTCTCAGAGAGACCACCCTGGAAGTACTCCACTTTTATCATGTCAACAAGAGAATATCTGGTGCCTGGTGCTAATGGAGGATAGCGGTCTTCCGTTAAATTATGTAAATGAATCAAGACAACCAAGTCATATTGTTGCCAAAGTGCACCTGTTGCCCATTGATAAGTGACATATCGACAAAATGTTGTTTTGCCTATGCCAGCACGACCAAGCACGAGAACTTTATTCGTTTTATCCTTGCATGTGTCAAAAATATTCTTGATATCTATGGCAGTCTTCGTATTGTAGATTTCTTCAAAGGTACGGATAATCTCATTACTGTGCTCATTCTTAAGAAGTTTTATTTCTTTTTGTTGCTGGTCTTTGTTTTCGATAATAGCTAGATTAATGTAACTTTTTTCAATTAGAAAAGATTTATTGGGATCCATAATAAGCTCAATACGACTGTTTTGTTGATATTCCTGCTTTATCTGTCCAAATAGATAATTTGGTTCTGATTGTGATTCACTGAAAAAAACTTAGAATGATTAGCAACAAAATCATGTATTTGATAATGCAATCAGAGAAAAATAGTCACAATGTATTTTCAAACACGCCAAAAATACTGTACCAAGGATTTATCAAAGAGAATTTGGTACCTATCTATGTGAAATAATCTCTATTTGATGGCATTTTCATTGACCCCAGTATAAGAATCAATAAAGTGCAACAGTTCACTAAAATTTTCGAAGAGATGCGCTAGAAAAACGCCAGATACTATTTACCAAGAATTGAGGAAATGTGTTAAATTTTATTTTTAGCATTCAAAGTGAAATTTCTAGCCAAACTATAATCAAATCTAAAGTGTTAGACTACTTTGTTTGACTGCTGCAAAATATCAGTTAATACAAGAATGGAAGACTTATTCAACGCCCACATATCGTCAGAAATCGGTGCATTCACGATTTTGATACTATTTCAGCTCAAAGATGTCTCATTGAATACAATTCAACATATACTAAGGTGGACATTATATTTAATCTATCCGTATGGTCTGCAGAGAAGTGTAAAAATAAAAACAGATATACAATACAAAATTCGAAAATCTGTCTTTCGGAGATCATTGTGTCTTCGAGCTTTCATAAGTGCATGTCATAGTACCATCTTTTTATGGAATATAATATTAGATGGAAGATTTAATTTTGATATCAAGTGTTGATGATAAAGAATTATGAAATAAGAGCAGTATGAGTCATTTTGTGAGTTTTTCTGCTCAATGACTATATCTGTCTCTAGATACCACTTGAATTCATTTAGAATCGAAAAACTGACTTCAGATTTGTGCTCAACACGCAAAATCGGGTCAAATAGGTAGCTTAATGAGATTGTCTTCTAATACGTAAATGCATCAAGGCTACGCGATAGGAAAACAACAGACTCGAATGCTCTGGACAGCTCGAACGACTCTATACACTTTACAGAGATTTTAGACTCCTGGCAGGAGTTCGAATTCAGCTTTTCAAATATAATTCTTTCAAATTTTGATTTATTCAAAGTGGCTCGAGAGATGTTTACCATGAATTGCTTTTCATCACTTGTTCGACCAATACGGAACAAGTTTCAATAACTCGAACATATCTTTTTTATTGAATTGTTGTGTTTAGTTTCGGTCGGGGTTGTTCCGAATGAAGACCGGAAAGACAATAACTAAGTAACATGGAATTACAGTTTTATGTAAAATTTATCTGATTGCGTACCTTCCTCCTTACAACAGCCGAGACTTTGGCTAAAGAATGCTCATAAAAAAGAGCATTTTACCTTGAGTCGAGCTTTTCAAGTCAAAGGTAATTCGACGATGTAACAAAAAATAAATATTATATGACTCTATTTGCTGACACTTACTAATTTGATAGCTGACGAACACAGGATAGTTGAAAATTGAGGGAAAAAATGTATCCCGTGTAAGTCAATGTTTTGATTATTTATAGAGACATGTGAAATTTGATTTAATCTTTTCTAAGGATGAATGTGTAGTTCCACATAATCGCCTCACTACGCTCACATCAATCATTTTTGCCTGTTTGAAAACCTATTTTATTGTGGTGATAAAAAGTTGAGTATATCAATCAACAGTACTCTTCAATTTCTCTTAATTTAACTTAAACTCTTCTCAAACGATTTATCATCATTTTATCTCGAATTGACCAGTTTTTAGTGAAAGTTTCGAGTAGATCATTATGACTTATTGCACGGTCTCTTCTCTCTCACCCATACGTTTTACCATGAATACTAGTTGCAATTGTTTGCACACCATTTTATTAAATATAAAAATTCGTAAGGGATCGGAAACTGCTATAGGCCTATCACAACTCAAAATTTATCACTGTTGCATTAGTTTAGTAGACTTTAGCTATTTTCTATACGAACTAACCTTGAGGATATTTCTTCTTGCAAATGAATGACAAAGAAATTATGGGCGGGGTTGATCGATGGACATTTGGCACGCACGCAAGTGCCGGGCATAAGAACAATTTCTTTCTCATCAGGAAATGTTGAAAACGCAGAGATATCTTTGCCATGAATTGTATCAATAGCCAACAAAGTGCCCGTCTTGTCTAAGTATGGTTCAACGACCTTGAGATCCATCGAACATGAATTTACACTCCACCAAATGTGCACATCACCATCAGCAAATATTGAACTAACATCTGCGCACACCCCTCGCCAAACAGTTTTTTCGATTGACGGCAGTTTCTTGAGAGCAGTCATGAACAACTTTAAAAAGGCGAACCATGGCTTCAGTGCATGCCGATCTTCAACTCGTAGAGCGTTATTGAGACATTCAAAGAAAGGTATTGGCATTGAGTAAAGATATATTGCTGCTGGTTCTTCTCGAGTCAATAAATTTGTTTTAAGATTGCATTTCTTTTTAGCTATGGATACATATTCTACGATACCAGGGACGAGTGGAATTATTTTTTCTATAGTTTCTTCTAACGTCTGAACGGGAAAATGCTGGTAACCGTCAATAGGGTTGCGATTGGCCTCTTCAAGCTCTGAGAAAGTGCTGTTCACAAAGCGATCACGTGTCATATGTATCAGTTGTCGTTGTTTTAATCGGCAAAATACGTTCAGATTAGCTATTTATCTCTATAACGAAAACAACATAGATATAGTACGACAGATAATTTGCGTGTATGATTATCATTTTTTTCTAAATTTTCCATAACAGCAATAGTGAATTTAGGCGAAACCATTCGATGTTTACGAGTATACAAAGAAAAGATCTTGATTGATATTTGAATAGATGAGTAAAAAAAGACATAAGAACACTCGTTTTCTATTTATGGAAAGAGTGAAGATATGCATAAGAGTGAATTTCAACTTTTTGGTACGATTGATTCGAAAAACTAAAAGTAGACTTAAACATGTTCTGAGTAATATTTCTTGTTATATTCTATGCCAATGTTACAGAGCAATTTCCAAATACTTTGCCGTATATTGGCCGTGATGTTCCTTACTTCAATGTTACCATAACATGAAGAACGTATGTTTAATCGAAAAATCGGTCACAGTTCACTGAAATTATACATGTGAAACTGCTTTCGAATTCATAATCAACGTTTGCAATAAAAGTAGAATAACTTTTCGAAATGGAATGAGTTCAATAATATAAAATGCAACCCATGTCGACTCACTATTACTTGAAGTATCATATGAAAAATGTCGTTCACCAAGCTGCAGTAGTCCACTTACAGTCTATGTGATAAAATTACGTTTTAATCCAGAATCTATGTTCGAAATAAAAATAGGGTAACTTTCCACCGTTAAACAAATCAAAAAGTGTAAAATACCACTCATCTTAACCCACTTTTAGTCGAAAATTCACATGAAAAAGATCGTTCTATATTTTATTGTATAATGTAAGTTTCTCGAGAACAATGAGAGATCACTCTCATCCTTTCCTCTCTCGAGTGTAGACGCACAAGTGCTTATTTACATAACATAACATTCTTTTCTGTTTCATCCTCCTCTTCTTGTTTTAATGAGAAGAGGAATCAACGGTAATTACCGTTCTAAAAAGAAAAGTTCGTTAGCCAAATTGCAGCTACAAAACTCATCAACCAACGCTATGTCAAAAACTAATCAAACAGCAGCAGTAGTCAATTACAATTTGGAAGAAATGATCGCATACATCCGTCAAAACCCAGATATCGCACTTGACGTTCATCAACACCTTACTCAAGTCCCATATCTTCAACAGCTCAATGATCCAATTGAGGCATCAACACCTCAAACAGCTAAACGAAATTTGGATTCAAGTGATAATGATGGTGCACAAATATCAAAACAACAACGTATTCTATCAAATGGAAAACAAAAAAATACTAATCAAATGAACGTATCACTAGCTTCAAACTATGCACATCAATCGGATAATAACCCCGCAGTATTTCAACCTCAACAACAACCATCAAACCAGCAGCAACATCGTCTTCCGTTTGCACAGCTAAAACGAGCTGTTTCAAGCAACTTGCCATGTTTTTTAATCGAATACGATCAGGATGGGAACTTGAAGAATCGACCATCCGATGTTTTAGCAGCAAGCATAGTTGAAAATCATTTCAAACAACAAGGAATCCTGATCGTGTTTTCTCTCGTCGGTCATACAGGTAATAAATTAAAATTAGGAGTAAACAACAAAGAATCGTACCCAACATTGATATCTACTGGTAAATGGCCATTACAAATCAATAATATCAATATTACCGTCATTAAACCGAAATTTATTCCTGATTCATTTGCTCTTGTTGTACGTTACGTGCCTCTTCAATACAACGACGAATATGTCAAAGACGAAATTGAACGAAATCTTCAATCGACCGAAAATGTCAGACGTATTTAGTATCGCTTCCAAAGAAGAACAAATGATTTTCGTTTTATTGTTAAAGATCTACAAGAATATAATTCAGCTTTAAAATTAGGTCGAATATCGATTGGAAATACATTCTGCACAATTACACCATTCTTGGCAGGTAATCGAATGACATATTGTACTCGATGTTGGTGTTTAGGTCATATGAGAGATAAATGTGAAATGGAACATCAACGTTGTCGCATTTGTCTTGATAATATTGTCAATGGTCAAACACATAATTGTTCGAATATACCTCGTTGTGCACAGTGCAATGGTGATCATCATTCATTATCTAGTGTGTGTGAAAAAGTGGCCGAATATCGATCTGAATTAAAAGAACAAGTTAATAATGCAATATCATCAGGCAAATTACAACGATTAGTACCTCAAGATCATCCGCAGCCGATGCAATTCCAGATGCAACAAAACGATTTTCCATCATTACCATCGCAAACACCCGGTGCCACTCCTTGGAAACTAGCTTCAGCACAACCACCAAAAATAACTAATATGAATGGAAGTGATGATACAGCAAAGATGTTGTTATCGGTAAATCAAAATATTTTAGATATGAAGGAGAATACTCAGTGTATAGACGATAAATTAGATCGTATGAATGATATGATTAATCAAACAGTTCTTGATACGAAACTGCATCACGGAATATTGATGAAACTACTGCCTACACTTGAATCATTAGTTTGTGATTTTATCTGGCCGATGATGTTGGCTAATGTTGCTGGATTAAGGGACAAACAACCGAAATTGCAGTCTTTATTTAATAACTTGAATAATTTATTGTCGCACTTGAATTCAGATTATACGACCCGACGAAAGCGTAGTACATCTCTCTTCATCTCAACTGTCGAAAACAACTAACAACAATCCGAACAACGGATCTGATTTAAATATGAACACATACATGAGTACTGTTTCTTCTAATCTAAGGGTTGAAGTCAAATCTTTCTTCCCTTTCCGAGCAACTAATCTTAAAGAAACAGCGATGAAACAGTTTCGTGAATGGGGATTCCAGGCAAAAGATGAAAAACTAGTTGACAAAGTTCTTACAGAATGGTTTACAGCAGGTACCCTAGAAAATATTCTCACAAAATGGGAAAATATAACTCCGAAAGAAATAGAAAAAGAACAGACTCCATTGAATATTCTCGGCTATAATGTACAAGGTTGGGGATCAAGAAGCCTAGAAGTAATTGATATTGTTCTTAAAGTAGACGCCTCTATATGTGTTTTTACGGAAGTTGGGGAGTTATGGAATACATCTCGAATACCTCATTTCAATATCTTCCACCAACAGGGAACTAATAAAAGTGGAGGTGTATGTGTAGCAATAGGTAAACATCTAAGAGGATCGAGAATAGATTTTAGTGGTGAAAATACAGTTATTGTTGATGTTAGTGGATTTTCGGAATTAGTTAGAATAATTGCTATTTACTGGCCGGCAGGTCAGACCAGAAATTTGGAAGAATTAGAAGCATATATCATCGAAAATACAATTATCACTGGTGACTTCAATGCATCCATAAAAGAATGAGGGAGTGAGTCATCCGATAAAAGAGGTAGAAGCTTGAAAGCATGAGTGGAAAAAAATAATCTTTGTTACATTCCATCGACATTACATTTCTCAAAACGTTCTAATAGAAGCATTGATTTAAAGTTTACAAATATAGGAGAAACAAGAGGAGAAACTCTAAAAATGGGTACCAGTGATCACTGGCCTGTAATGATAACATGTAAGAACGTGGGATTTGATAACAACAAAATGTTTCCCCATGTACATTGGAAGGCATATGAAGTCATTCTCACGTTGCTACAGGAATTTTGGATAAAAGAATAGAATAGAGAGGTGGAAGCTGATGAGTGGTATATGAATTATGTACGCTTTCTTGCTGCTCTTAAAAACAGACTTACACAATGGAAAGAAAAAGAAAAATTCCGACCATCACTGCCGCCTTATCTTATTCAGAAGCTCAAAGAAGTAAAAAGTGTCAGAAATAAATATTATCGAGAGAAAAAAAGATGCAATGCAAATGAGGAAACAAGAGTGCTACTACGTGTATTAAAACGAGAAGTTAAAATTGAAATTGCAAAATATAAGTCGAGTAAATGGCAGGAGTTCCTGTCCAAAATTCAAGAAACGCATGATAATACGGACAGAGCGTTCTGGTTGTACCTTTCTCGAATATATAAACATATAACATTACCCTTTTCAAAATTAGATACTGGTAAAACAATACTGAAAAAAGAGAACGAAATCAGTGATGAACTATATCGATACTACTCGGAACAGTTCAAAGAACAAAGTATAACTATGTCAGATCCTCATGAAATTAAAATTGAAACAGAATATCTAGAATTGATGAGTAAATTAGCGATGTGGAATGAAAAGATTGAAATGACAAGTGTTATAGAAATAAAGAAACATATATCAAAGTTAAAACCGAAAAAGTCATCTGGTTTCGATGCAGTGTCTAATTTTATGATTAAACGACTTCCACCAACTTATATTAGTTGTTTAGCAAATTGTTTTAACACTTAGCTAACCGAATACAGATACCCTGATGTTTGGAAATTAGCTAAGATAGTTACATTAAATAAACTAAAGACAGGAGTACCCCGTTGTGATCAGACACGGCCAATTTCACTTTTAGCGATGCATTCAAAGTTATTCGAAAAAATTATGCTAGATAGAGTGACACACTGGGCAGAAACTAACAATCTAGTTCCAGCTGAACAGTCAGGTTTTCGTCCATCTTGTCTACTTCCTACTAGAGTCCTATCAATATATCAAGAAGTAAAAAATAATCTGACAGCTAATATCCCAACATTAGCAGCATATGTTGACTATCAAAAGGCATACGATAAAGTATGGCAATAGGGTCTTATTGTTAAACTCAATAGACTAGGTATATCCTTTGCACTATTGAAATTAATTATTTCATGGCTAAAAGATCGTCGTACGTATGTTAATTTTGGAAAGAGTAAATCGAAAATATTTTATACTCATGTTGGCTTACCACAAGGCAGTAGTTTAAGCCCGTATCTATTTATTGTTTATCATTGGGATCTTATTTCATGTTTAGGTACTCATTCTAGTCACATATTTGCCGATGATCTAAGTGTACTTATAACTCCACCAATACGTAGAGAATTTAAACCGATGATTAAGTTTTTAGAAGAAGAAGAACAAAAATATGTAACAAAATAGCGGATTATTCCAGAATGTGGAAACAACCAGTTAATTTGTCCAAAACTGTAGTGCAGGTTTTTCATTCACAAGTACAAGATCCAGTAGTAGGTGTTTATATGGAGGGGTAAAGACAAGAAGTAGTTAAAGAGTTCAAATATTTAGGCTTTACTTGGACAAATAAGATGTCCTTAAAACCAACGATTGATAGAACCCTTGAAAACATTCAAAGAATATTTAGTAAATTAAGATGGATGAAAAGTGGTAAGATTGTCTCAACAGAGGTCCTGCGAAAATGTTTTTTTGCTTACAGTTTTCCATATTTCGCCTGGATATTTCCCCTATATCCATTCCTGCCCAAATCTAAAAAAGAAGTACTTCTAAGAAAATTTAGAAACGGATTAAGACTGGTTCATCGCTGCCCTTTTGCAAGAGCAACAGATCTTCTTCAGATAACAAATGAAAAGTCATTAGAAGAGTATGTTAAAAAATATATAAAGAAAAGATTAGAACAGATTGAAAAATCTGATTTAGGACGCTCACCCTTTTACAATGATATATTTTATTGGGATGCGTTCTGTAAAAATAAAAATGATCATCTGGGACATTTTTTCCGAATGAAACGA